TGCCCTATCTCTTCTTCTATCTCGTCTGGCGTTGCGTGTTTTCTTCTATCTCTATGTTTTCTCTCTCTGTTTCTTTTCTGGCTTGATGTGTCGTGTGTGTATCGAGATATTGTCTCTCCTGGTTGTCTGCGTCCTTTGTCTGTCTTCTAGCCCACACCCTATCCCGTACCACCATGTCCTGTCTGTCTCCCTATCATCACTCTCTACTCTACTTCATATATATACATCGACTCCCTTATTCCTCATACATCTATCCTCCTAATATAAAATCTTTACTCCAATAGGCTATATATGTCTATCTCCATCCTATATCTTAATATTGGGGGTCCCATACCCCATTATTACATATCTATATATTATATATATATATATATATATATATATATATATATATATATATATATATATATATATATATATATATATATATATATATATGGGGGGGGGGGGGGGGCAGGACGCTGGGTTTGCGCCTCAGAAACAGGCACCACCAAGCCAGCACTGTCCATAGGCAAGTACAAGTAGGTACCTACCAAAGCACCGTAGTCAAATACGTTCATCAGGATGCAGTGTTTGACTGATGCAGAGGATCGTCCAACAAGTCTGTTTTACACCTCATGCCTGCTTGCCATCTGCTTGGGAGGCAAATTCGATATCGATAGGGCTTGCATCGTGCTTGTACATGTAGATCGTGAGGAAAAGGCTCTCTCGCTCTTGCGCCCTTGTCAATCACTCATCGATAGTTGTGGCGGTTGCAGACCCCCCCTCCCTCCCTCGTCGATTTGAGGCGTCGGGCTGCGCCTCGCCCAAAGGCGGAATGATGAGTGGCGCCACAGGAGAACAGGGCGGGTACGAGGTCGGGAAGTACCTGGTACGGGACAAGGATTGATTTGTATTCTGCCCTCTCCTCTACCTCGCTTGCCCTCTCTTGCCTCTTTATTGTCCAGTCACGCGTTCGTTGCTCAGGAATCGAGTCATGTCGAACGAAGCTCTCTCGCGTCGCATCCATCACGGCAAAGGAAGAAATCTCGCGATCGGGGGCGGCATGCTCACGAAATCTGCCATCCCATTCGTCCCGGCAAAGACAACACAACATGCCTTGTCGCGACGACTGGCACATGCAACTAGCAGACATCGTGGCTCTGGCCTGACCTCTGGTACCCGGGTTCCCCAGCGGGCGGGCTGGCATCGTGGCACTACGACCGAGGAATTCTCCGGTCATTTCGCCCTTGCTTTGACATTGGATGCCAGGCCTGTCCTGCCGAGCTGACCAGGATTGTTGTCAGAGCAGGGTGCCAAAGCAGGATGCCAAAGCAGGATGCCAAAGCAGGACGCCAAAGCAGGACGCCAAAGCAGGACGCCAAAGCAGGACGCCAAAGCAGATGCCAGGCCCGACACGGGTCCTAAAGTCCGATCAAGAAACAAGCATGCTCCAGAAACCACAACACTACAGTACAAGGGGAGCGGGCGCTCATGTGCGCCACGGAGTTAACTCGACTTCTGATCCTCGTACCGTTAGCCAGTCGTACACGCCAATCACGGGACGTGAAGCTGCCCTTCTCAGCCTCTGACGCCGCTCTAGGTCCCCGATGGCCGAACACCACATCCATCAACGGACGTCATTCTCCCACCATCTCGATGCCCCTCCTACTCTCTCTCTCTCTCTCTCTCTCTTCCTCTCGGATCCCGAACCATCCATCATCCAAGCGTCTACTGGCTGGTCACATACCATGTCATCGGTCGACCACTCAACAGCCGTGTTGCATCGATCTGAGCCAAATTGTACGATACGATGTGGCGACGTGTTAAGGAGCTGACCACAGGCCCAGACCGTGTCTTCTTTCAGTCGATGATGCGCATGCGAGAGGAGAGGACACACGGCCGGGCTGGTGCAAGAACGATACGGGGGATGATGCCCTGGTCTCCGATCGAGGCACGCGTGAGTCGTGAGTCGCGAGCGCGAGGGTCTTCCCGGACGTTTCTCTCCTCCTCGGCTCCTCCCCCGCAGCCAAAGTAAAGACTGCGCGCGCAACTGCCGTCCCTGACAGCTTGCTTGGCCGGCGACCGGTTTCCCTGCCAGGCCTGACGAGTTGCATCGCGTCGGCTTCGCGGCCGCGCTGTCTGTGCGAAACAATTTCCCATCGCACAGCGTTGCACCGAGAGTGTGGCCAGAATCCACGCTGTTTGCCCCAGGGACCAATCAGTCCGCACCATGTTGAGACCTGCTGGTCCAACTCTGGGTTGCCGCCCACCGACACCAACACGCTTTGGGGCCCGTAACGTCTCTATTCGGTCAGAACCAGCCCGCCCAGTCGTCGATCTAGCACGCTTTTGTCCCCCCTGTGGTTTTAGGGGCTGCCGTGCTCCTGGGCTGGGTGTTTGACGCACCCCTTCCCTCCCTGCCTCGTTCGCCAGCAGGAGGGAGGGCCGCCGTCTGGCGTTTGGGATGATGATCTGCGAGCTGCTAAACTGCTGCCATTCGAGGCTTTGTTGCTCACAGGCCCCCGCCTCCCAGCCACTTTCCGACAACGCCCTTTTGCCCGTGACAGCTTATTGACTGACGAGGCCAACGCGATTCGCCCGGAGAGCGAAGCGGCTGAGCTGCGCAACATCTGGTAGCCGTTCTATGTGTCTCATTGGCCATGTCGAGCTCACTCGACAGATGAGGACTTGGGACGTGGTTCAGCCTTAGGACCTACCGTCTGACATCGCTCCGCAAAGGAGGCAAAGAACCTTTTGGCAGGAGCGGTGTTCACGTTTCCCCATCACATTGACCCTTGTCGTCGATCCCTCCACCGCACAGGCCAAGGTTTACTTGGGAGCAGTTGCTACTGGTCGTTTGTTGGTCTGCAGCGTTCCCCGCCCATCGTGAGATAAACGGTGCCGTAGGTCAGTCTGACGACCAAAGTACCAGAGTGGCCGCATCATTGTGTAGCTCTCCGTCATCCTCTCTGCCTTGGAGCCGTTTTGCGTCCAGCGGAGCCAAGCCCAGCCACAGCTCTGTTGCGCTCCAGGCCTTTCTCGTTACACTGACCAGCCAGGTATATCGCGTCCGGACATAACCGAAGTGCTGATGTAGCATCACAACAACCACGTTTCGATGGCTGCTGTGCCACTCGGACGAGTCACCGCCATGCCCAGCGTCCACAATCCCATACGCCCGGCCGTCGCGCTGGAACGCCAGCGTCCCTTCCTGCCACGTTCTTCGCGACGTTACATTCGGGTCAGGGCTGCTCGCGGAGGAATACCGTGGCGCCGCCAAGGCGTTCCGTTCTGCCGGAGATGACAGGCAGGATACGATGTTCCATCGGTCAAAGTGATGTCAGGTAGCCGCCATGGGTCTGTCAACAACGCCAATCGCCATGATCCATGGCTCGCCCGCCTCGAGTCTCTTTCTCGAATGTGCTCCAGAACGAGGCTGAATCGTCACGGCTTGCTTGTCGTCTTGACAATTATACTAGTAGGTGCACAAGTTTGGCCCAGCTGCTCGCGTCCGCCTCGGCATGACGAATAACAGAAGAGCCTCATATGACGGCCACCATGTCATCCTCGTTTCCCGCTCCTTTGGAATAACTAAACCTTGTCTGTGCATCTAACCGTGGACTCTCGTCTCGAGAGCCGTTGAGCGTGCAAGAACGATCAATGGCGAGTTGGAACTCATGCACTTGCAGTGTCACTATTCAGACGAACAGTTCGTTACTTGATCCGTGTTTTTGCGTACTTTGATTCCGTGTTGCCCTAATCCTGATGCTACTTTTTGGTTGACGATTAGCTATGCCGGCTTCCGTAGTTTCTGATCCTAGCGCCCGCCGCGCGTGTCCTGATATTCCGATTTACGTTCCTTATATGATTTCGCCACGGTAGATGCGGATGCAAAGTCGCATCAAGAATCTTGGTGCGAGTCTTACTCCGAATCTTCCTCCCAAGCTTCCTCCGAATCTTCCTCCCAAGCTTCCTCCGAATCTTCCCCCAAATCTTCCTCCAAAGCTTCCTCCGAATCTTCCTCCGAATCTTCCTCCGAATCTTCCTCCGAATCTTCCTCCGAATCTTCCTCCGAATCTTCCTCCGAATCTTCCTCCGAATCTTCCTCCTCCTGCGAGTCATCTTCCTGCGAACTATCCTCTCCTTGCTCGCATGAGTCCTCGACCTCGGGATTTTCCCAGTCTTCCAATCCAAAGCTGTGCGATTCCTCAATGCCCATCATTTGCACATATTCCCGGGAAATCTCAGCAAACTCTGCCATCAGATCACTACAGAGACGAATCCGCTTCAAAGCTGGGGGGCCCATTCCAATAGACTCAAGGTCCCGGGTCGATACAAGGACTTCGTTCAGTGGCTGGCCGCGTTGCAATTGGTCCGCGTTGCGAGAACTCCGAGACTTGGAGAGACTGATCAGTCGGTTCCGTGCCCAGTACACGGCCAAGGTTACGTTATATTGACCGACGTGCTGAACACAACAGTCATCCCAATGAATGGCGGCAGTGGCTTTGGTTTGTTGCTTGCTCCGGTAGCCATGGTCGAGCTTGACCAGGTCTTCTGGCACCTTTTGGCCATGGTTATCAACCCATCGGAACCGAACACCCTGGCTTTTCCCATCTTTGTCCCAGCTCGGGAAAGAATACAGCCAAACTGGGCAGCCTTTCCGGCGGGCTACGCTAACGTAGGAACTGTCGATAGGGGACGATGATCCAGGAACGGGGGATGGGCGACAGTCCTGCGTTAGAGCCCCGATCTGTAGACCACTTTGGGTATCGCCAAGATCTGTCCAGGGGTCAGGCACGATGTTGTCCATTTCCGTGGTCCAATCGTTGCTGAAGAGGGGGTTGAGATGATGGGTATTTGGCTCTGAGTTCCAACAGCGTCAGATTGCCTGATCTGCTGTAATGAGATAGTTATATGCTGTAGATTGTGTATATGTGAGAAGAAGCCGTCGGAATGATCACGGGCTGTTGTTTGTTGAAGGTTGGGGGCAGGTGATGCTTCTATTCGTAGTGGGATCCGAAGAGGATGGCTTCTTTCAGAAAGTGACGCATTGGATCCCATTCACTGCCTTATAGTGAAGGTATTTATGGCAATAGCTCGGTCTGATTCAGAGATGATCCAAGTGGCTCTGCTGTCAAAATTCCGTTGAGTGTTCCGTGGCTCGCAAGGTGTTTGGAACGAGTCGGTAGGGATGCGGCACTCTGGTCCTTTTACCTACACGGCTGGCTCGCGAGTACCGTGTTGGTTACAGCGAGAAGGAACCGACAGCATGCACGAGAGACACGACAGGCTCACAAGTACGGATTGGCAGCTTGCTGGTCTTTCCAGCAGGATCTCATCTCGGCATAGCATCATACCTACATGATGCTCAGCACAAGACGGTCAGAAGGAAGCTCGGAACACTTTAGACTCGTGTTCAAACATGCACTCTCACTGATCGGACTTGAGAACATATGTCGCCCGTAAAGCCACTGGTGGATCACACGATGCTAGCCGAACATGCCCTTGCTCCAGGGGCACAATGCTCCCGGGCCTAGTTGTCGCCAACACGCTCGCACTCACAAGACCCTGAATCGCGGGTAGCCAATCACGCGACGCAGGTGACAACCACTCCTTGACTTCCCCTCCCTTCGCAGACCACGTCAGTCCACTCTCAAGATCCGTTCGACGTTTTCATGTTCATCCAGATGTTGGTCAATAAATTGAAACCCACGCCATAGACAAATTTCTGCCGTCAGATAACATCCCCCCCTCCCCCCCCCCCCCCCCCCCTGGGGGTTTTGGCGGGTCACCAAGCCCGCACCGGGGGATGGCGCCCTTTCAGTAACCCAAAAAAAACCCGCCGGTTTCGACGGGAGCAAGGTTCTTTCCGGTGTCCCAAAACCCCTAACAAAACCCTCTCCAACCCAAAGATTTCGTCCTGGTCGATCTGCGACGTAACGATTCACGAGGTAAAGGAAGCCCAACGGTCTCGCGACGGCGTGGCGCTGACGTGGACCAGGGCGGCACGATCCGGACCTCGCTCAACCTGCCAGCGCAGAGCCTCTACCCATCCATCCCCACCCTCTACGACGTGTTCAGAGCTGCGCAAGTGAAGACTGTCATCTGGTACTGCGGTGAGTTGCTCAGAGTTTCCTGGTCTATCGGGCGTTTCCTGATGCCAAGTAGGATCCTCTCGTGGCCGAGGCAGCCGCGCTGCGGGCTGGCTCGGCGACCAGATCGCTGAGAAGGGTGACACGCAGATGAGAAGCGTCATCTTGGGCGGCGGCATCAAGGGCTGGGTTGCTGGCGGGGAGAGCTTCACGGCATACATGTCCGGGTATGAAGCGGATAAGTGGGTAAATGCCGCAGAGTAAGGCCGTGTCCGATGATAAATATTCACATCTCAGCCAACATGCCCAACTTTTGATATCATGCAGCAGAGTTTCCGATCGAGAGATGTTTTCAGACGCATGAACATAAGTACTGCTGATCTTCCGAAGATAGCCCTAGGTCCACTCCCACCCAGTTCACAACCCCCCGATCCATGACACCTGACGCCTACGTCCCCCTCATCCCGATCCCGGTATGCATCCCCGTCATACGGCTGCGGCCACCACTGTCCGTCCCGACCCATCTCGTACTATCCGGCCCAAAAGACTGCGGGCCATAAAATGAGCGAGCAAACCGGCTTGGACCTCGTGTCACGGCAGCAGGGTGACGGTCTTGATCGAGTGTTCCGAGATGATGGTCGTACGGGGACCATTGAAGCTGAGGGCGGCGGTCATGTCAACGGTTTATCACTCGACGCCAGAACTCTAGACCCTGCAGCTTGTCACCGAGACCCCTTGTGACACATTGTGTGATGCTATTCTTGTGAGAAGCTCTGTGTGCTTGGCTGGATCCTAGACCATGAGGATGGATGGCATTGGTTTCTGCGCCGAAGGACCAGGCTCAATCTGGCTGAGCGCCCCTGACCGGGATCACCATCTGGCGAGAACCTTCGGTTGGAAGGATATGGGTTGAGATCTCGAATTCTCGGTGCTCAGCCCAACGAGGCACCTTGGCAGCTTACTTTTATCTCCAATCAAACAAAGACACCAGCCAGCACTCATCTGCTGGACCACTGTGGCTACGAGCATGAAGTTGTGGCCAATGATCATGGACCCAACCCAAGCTCTTCTGAACCTTGGCAAGAATTCTGCACCTTCGCTTCGCATCCCAGTCATCAGATACGCGTGTCTTGTAGAGAAGCTGAATGCAGTCATCGTGACCATGATTCCATTAATACTATGAACCGAGACTCCCCCCTTCATTATTCTGCGCGAAGGGCGCAATGGTATCAACCAGAAGAGCCTTTCTCGTAATGTAACACACACCAAAAAATGAACATAGAAGTGCGGGAGGGAGTACTCTTGCAGAAGTCTCTCGCCCGCCAAGTTCCCTCGGAAAGTCAACAACGTTTCCTTCCTCAAGACCCAGCATTTACAGGCCAAACACGGCAGCCATGACACCCAAGCCAAGAAGGCCGATGGGGACGGTGCTCATGATGGCGGCAGCAGTAGGCACGGGAACGAGGCTCTCGCTTTCGGTCGGCTCGGGCACGACACCCGTGGGGGCCGGGACGCCGGGGACGCGGCTCGAAGTGCAGTTGTCGCCGTGTCCGGGCTTGGGGGGCTGCGGCAGAGATCCTCCAGCCTTGAGCTCAAAGTTGGCGCACGTGATGCGCGTGAGGTTGCTGCTGAAGTGAAGGACGAAGCTGCGGTTGCCGAAGAAGGAGCCCTGGCCCTCGATGAGAGACGAGTAAGGGTCGACGTAGGTGGCCTCGAAAGGGTCGTCGGATGACTCAACGAAGCCGTGTTTTCCGGAAAGATCGCCGACCTCGCAGGTCTCGGGGGCCTCGGGGTTGCAGGGGATGGCCTGGCCGCGCTTGTAGGGGTCAAGATGAGCGCGAGTCGAGGTGCAGTTGCCGTCGGTGGCCGGAGAGTCGTGGATGTGGTAGGCAAAGGGGCCACCCTCCTTGGGCAGGTTCGAGAAAGTGACCTTGAATTCGACACCAACGCCGTCGGGAGCTGAGATGGCCGTGATGGAGCCCTTGACGTTGCCCTCAATGTCGACGCCGGCGAAGAAGGGGTCCTCGGGAAGGACGGCCTCGTAGACGACACCGGGCGGGTTGCCCTCAACGATGGGGGCGTCACCAAGCTCCTGCCAACGTGTTAGTATCAACGGTACCATGTGGTGGGAATATCCATAGCCCTGGGCCAAGGGAAACGTACACCAGTGACGGGTTCCTCCTGAGCGGCAACGCGACCGATGGCCGCGGCCACGATAATCGACAGAACCGACTGAGTACGCATCTTGTACGATGAGAAGTAAGACACGGGAAGTGAGTGTGAGAGTTGTTTTCAAGGTGACAACGATTCGGTCGTGGTAGTATGGAGATGAGAAGAGCACCAAACGATTGGGGGGGGGGGAGTAACGACTTGTAGATGTAGGTGGGCAAAACTAGGAGAACAACGAAGGGTGATCTTCTTAAACAGAGGATTGCTCCTTCCTAATGTACCAGTAGTGCCAATAAATGAAATCTCTCAAACCAGACCGGGGGGGGGATCAAGGCGGAAGTGGGAAGTGCGGGAGTGATTGTCGTTCGGTTGAGATGAGGAGGTGTATTCAAAGTGGAGTGGGGGGGGGGGGAAACATTTGTCGATCTTATACCGCAGGCAGAACAGGCCAAGCCACGACAAAGATGACGGGTGCTTTGTTCATCATGTGTGCCAGATGTAACCCGATGGAGCATTTGAATGCGCCTTGAGCCTTGTGCCTTGTGCCCTGTGCCTTGTACAAGCCGGAGTGCCGTGAAGGGGGCTTAAGCCTGTCTCGTCAATGTGGCGGGCGAGAAGGACGAAGGGGGGGAGGCCAAGGCTTCCCCTACCGCAGAGCCAAGGAGCATGTAGGCACACGATCCCATATGCACGGGAACAGACTACTTTGTTAGTGGATGAGCCAAAAAAGAAGGAGGCTGAGCGTCAGCACGGCAGCCCAGCAGCAACAGAGGCAAAGTGAACCATTGCCCCCATCACACTGCTCGGCGCGTACCACTTTGACAGGTCGCCTCTGATCAGAGACATTTGCAAAGACATCTAAAGCCTCTGGGCTGAACATCTGCACCCAGAGACCTCGCCCTTCCGAATTCCCTTCACTTGCCCAAGGGAATATCCAGGACCAACAGAGTTTGGTAATTCCTCTGGTCTTGCAAAGGAGCGTAGCAATGCAGCTAGAGGGAGGCGGGCATGCATGCAACTGTCCATCCATCAGGAAGCCACCCGTGCGCCGTCAGACAAGAGGTCGCCTGGCTCCGTCCGAACTAGCGGCAGACCAAGGGAGATCTAAGTTCGTGGGGAGTCCCCTGCGTCGGAGCCCCAGCCGTGTACAGGTACAGGTACACACACAAGCACACTTGCGTCGCTTGCTGAGCGTGGCAATCGAAGTACCATCCATCCACCTCAAAGACCTGAGCGACCGAGCGGGCAACCAAGTTCGCCTGCATACGTGCACAGCGCACAGAAGCCAACCTGAAGCTACAACATGGGACAAACCAACCAAACCAACCAAGCCAACCAAGGCGACGCTATCGTGACCAGTAGTTTCATTGGGCCCAACGCGGGCATGCATATGTTTTCTCGCTGGGCTCTTGCTATCCTGTTTCGACGAGGCCGAACCTCCTGCAAGTCGATCGGCCATGTCACGCCCTTCCACAAACTGGCTGCCCACACGAGGGAAGATGATAGGGAAGAAGAGACAGATCTCCATCTCGCAGGGGCACGTCTTGACGACCGCCCTTTGGAAGGGGTGCAGGACGGTTGGGGGCCACAGGTCTCAGAGACTCGTTGTATGTCGTGGCACGTAGCAGCTCCAATCTGCACATGCTGGGTTTCCGAGCCGCGTGCGTTGTAGACGAAACAAATAAATCCATATTTGCTGACGGGAGCCCAGCGACGAAGGAACCAAGCAGCTTCGGGGAAAGGATGATTGGCCAGGTGCGAGTGCCCAGGCCGCCATCCCCCCCTGGTCATCTTGTGGCCGTCTTGGTTTGTTTGTTTGTTGGAGGAGTCCTGCGGTCCTGTGAATGTACTGTAGTCCGTCCTGCGCCTCCCCCTCCCCAACCCAACCTCTCTTCCCCCCCTGCCGATGACGCCGCTGGCGGTTCGGCATGCGAGGGGCTCTTGGTTCCGGAGTGGCCAATGGTGCCTTGGAGCATTGAGGTCAACAGCACAGCGGGACAAAATGGCCGGGTTTTTGCAGTTAACATTTGTTGGGCCTGTAACTGACATCGGATTGCGCTGCTGATGCCGTTGGCCGCTGTGCGAGGTGATGATGCGTCTTGGAAGCTCTGCCATGGATGGGTCTCGTGGGGCACAGGCCGCCCGCCGGCTGAAGAGATGGACAACGGACACCAGACGAGTGAGTTTTTCGGCATACCGGATAATTATGATGCATCTCTAGGTTTGCGGGGTCAGTCTCGCTCTGCGCTGAGCGCACGTTCCGCTCTCCGACCGAGTTGCGTGGGTATAGAGCGTAGAGCCCGCCAGAACAGATGACGCGGAAATCGTCGGATGGCCGGTGTTCCAGTATCCGGTCAAGCACGTCAATGATGGTGCCAGCACGCCAGCATGCCAGCACCACCTGTCAATATCTGTGCGGGTTAGTGGCAATAAAGGCAGAGTCAGGGGCTGATGCCGGTGGTCAAAAGGATGAAGGAAGGAGATGATGATGGACACGGTGATGTTCGGTCTGGGCACATTTTCGCGATGTTTCAGTGCGCATCCTGTCCCGCCCTCATTGGATGCCCCAACAAGTCAGCCCCATGCACGCCAACCAACATCAGCCGTCGGCCCCCAACGATGCGGTGGTTTGCTGAGGAAGCTGCAACCGCAGGGGCGACCATTGCTCCTGCCATTGCCAGTCCACTCCCGTCGCGCCTGCTGCCGCCGGTACCGCGTCTGGTCCCGTTGACCATCGTCAGAATGACAGCTACATTCATGTTCCAAGAGGCACCTGCATTTAGCCTGCTACAGCATGTACACCTACAACCGCCATGTGAGGACGTCTTCATACCTTACCTTGGTAGGTACAGTCATGCGACCAAAAAAAACGACGGATTTCCGTTTCCACACAAAACCACATAGTTTTCTAACCTCTATTACTTATTCTATAGATCACTATAAATAATGATTTTGATGATACTTGTAGAACCTTACTTAATCTATAGCTTCTACCATTTAGATTGCTAATAGCTACTTTATTTATTTTATAATAGTATTTTGAAAGTTAAATCAGTATTTCTAATAACAAAAATCCGTCGTTCTTTTTGTCCCCCCACTGTACCTAACCAAGCTAACGTACCTTAGGCAGGTAAGGTGACCTACGAGAGGCAGGCCAACACGTACTCTCGTTACCCAACTTCAAATCACATCTCTCGACAGCCTCTCGGCACGCCTGCCGGGGCGTCGTGTGCCAGCGTCTCACCTTCTCATCCGTGTGCCCTACGCGATTGCCAGTCTGTCCGGGGCGATTAACGCCCGCCAGCTCACCTGAACCTCAACCTACAGATAAGGTTGTTGTTTCGCTGATCCCTCTTGGGCGTTTCACGATGGACCACGACGTCTGTGCCTGAATCGAGAGGAAGACTCGACGGTCATATACTACGGGCCACATGGCACCTCTGCTCTGCCCTACGCCCCATTCCGGCCTGTGGCCCGGCTGCGTCGGCCATTGTTCAACTCTGACAGTCTGGCGCCTCCGTTTCGTGAAGGACCCTTTCCGGCGTCCCGGACGCGTCGCCCACGGCACGGCTGGGCCGGCGAATGCGCTGGAAAGGCCTCTCTGACGTCAACGGGCCGAGGGCTCTTGGTCGGGCTGCTGTGGCGCAACATCGGTTACCCATCGTGAGACCTTGTCATTTGCTGTCGACGCTGCTTTCTCGCATTCTCGCACGGCAGAGCGGCTTCTGAGACCAAACTTTGAACAAATTGTGATCATGAGCTAGCTAGTACAGGTAGCTGTCCACCCCGTACACGTCGAGCACTCGCACCACCTTCATGTCACCCCTAGAAAGTCGGTAACAAGGCACCAATTTATTCGGGGCCCATGACCCTGGATGCTGGATATCGCGGCAGTGTAGCCCGTTTTCAAAAGTTTGCTGGTTCTTGACGGAGTTGAACGTTGCCCAAGAGTTGCCTCGCAGGAGCACCAATCCAATGTCCTGTTCGCCTTGCACTACCACCGGTATGAGTCCACCTTCGAAGGCAGTTGTCGCCTTGATCGGGACGTTGATCGAAAACCCACTCTGGGGGTCATCTGTGTGGCGCCGGAACATGGCGTTGAATGGACCCCGGGTCTGGAGAAACATACGATCATCAAGTCGAAGTAGGATCACCAGCAGAACCTGAGGATTCATGCCTGTGACGGAGACGACTTCTGTAATCGACCGGCATGCCACCTCCCCACGGAGAAAACGATGCCAAGACCAGTATTCGACCCGGACGGCCTTGACTAACACAAGCATGAACGCCGCCAAAACCCAGCAGAAGACGCTGATGTTGAAAGGATCTACACCCTCTATCCTTTCGCCGATGCTGAATCCAAAGGCCAGCCCGCCGATCACGAGGGTGGCCGCAATGCCCAAAGAGGTCCAGGCGTATTGCTTGTACGGTACAACGACGGAGTTTTCGTCAACAACCCAGGTGTTATACTCATCTTGCGCCTTTTCAAAAATCTTGCTGCGCTTCTCGTTGCTCCAGTTTGACATGTCATCTTCGGCCGAGGAATCGTCCTCGATTGTCTGTGATGCCACCAGACGCTCGCGGATGCGCGCCCTGCGGTTCCACTCCAATTGCATCAGCTGGTTGACGTCGACGTGTTTTAAAAGCCCGTTGCGGACGATCATGGAATTGTGGTTGACCCGGGAGATATAGTTGCAGTCCTGTTTCGTCCGAGGCTTCGATATGTTAACGCATATTTTATAGAGGCTTGGGAGGCGTATGTGATGACTATAGTACGCCACAAAGTTGTTATCAAGCCCTTTTGAGGAAATGCTGCACATGGTGACAAGCTAGTCCAGTCTGACAGTGAATGCGCCGGAAACCATCGAGTACGGGATCAAGACAGCAACCATACTCTCCAAGGAAAGCAGCTCCCTCCGACTGGAACCTTTCAAATGTGAATACGGCTCAATGTTCATGCTGTATTCTATGGTGACGGGGGAACGAGATCCCACCCTCGTGGGAGGGCGTGGCTGCTCCGACGCCTCACTGCATTTTCGGTAGACCATAGCAGCAATGTGTCGCGTCAATCTGTCCAAGCTAGCATGGCTCCCTGTTCCGATTTCGCCATCGTAGCCTTTGAAGAGGACCATGACTTCTTTTGTGATGGAACAGTCGTACATTTCCAATGTTTTTCTCAAATCAGTAGGGGAGCTGATCTGTAGCGAGTTGGGAAGATTCAGGGCAGCCTCCCTGAAGAGATGAACCACGTGGCGTTGAAGGCTGATGATTTCGTACCCTAACCAATCCCAACAAGCCAAAGGAATGAGATCGCGGCAGAACTGAGCAATCGAGGGTTTCTTCTGCACCTCGGGCGGAGGGAGACGCAGGTGTCGGTTCATCTGCTTGAGTCTGGCTGCCAGCCTGGCCACCAGAGCGATCAGGATTGGCTTCATGCGGTAGTCGTCAGCGGGCTCTGGTAACACATCGACGAGGGTTGTCGTGAGGTAGTCGATCGCGTCGGTGAAGTACTCGTTGTAGGGGTCACAACCTGGCGCAAAAGAAGCATCGTGGTGATGGATCTGGGCTTGCAAGCGCGCGAGGCGATTATTCAATGTATTTCCGTCGCGTTTTTGATTCTTGGACGGCTCGTTACCATGGTCCATCGCAGTGTCGTTGAAAAGGTCGGGACTCTCGGTATTCGCGCCCAAGCTGGGCTGACTCAAGTCGCCGAAGAGGAGGATATGTTCGCGCAGGACGCCGAAGAAGACCAGAGCCTTGGACCCTTCGCACTCTACTTTGCTCCGCCATTCGAACCCTGGTGCACGACGCCGCCTGGACACGTTGTCGGGGGCTACGAGCCTGTTGACTTCGTCCAGCACTAGGACTTGTGCATCTCTATCACTGGCGGGTGCCTCTTGATCCTGCTGCGTAGGCGGTCCATATTGCGAAGTCGCTGAACCAAGGCACACGGCTTTTGCCGACTCCAGTACTTGCTGCCACAGGACCCAGTCCGCGTCTGTACGTATTGATGGGCGAGGGGAGCCTGGACCAGAGGCATCATGGGATTGGCCGTTTGAATCCTCACCATGGATGGTAGGGTCTGCGCCCAGGAGAGCTGGCGGCTCATTGGCCGGTGCTACCATGATGTTTGGCAGGTTGATGGTCGATAGATCATGGGCTGTGAGCCTGGGGCCTGTACAGAACACATAGGCGACGAGTCTTTATTAGCATAGGAGCAGACACGGCCAGGCTGCGTTGACAATGCAAGTTGCAGCCTGGAGCCTTATATGGTCAACAGAACTCAGCTCGCACCATGCCAGCCTTGTTCAGACGCATCCTGCCGTCGGTTTTGGCTGCATGGGATGGATCAATGTGACACGCATGATAAGGCGAGCAGTTCCAATCAGATGATGGAGCGAGGCAACCATGTTGATGGTTTCCTAGATGTTGCAGCTGAGTGCAGCCGTGGCTGTGAACCGACCTGTTTGGCAACCGGGTACCTAATTCAGGCACTCTAGGTAGGTAGGTACCTAGGTATCGTGTCGTAAGCAAGCTGAAAAGCAGTACCACAGCAGGCGAACGAGAAGGTCTGTGATGTTGCCCCGTCGCAGATGCCCCTCCGTCATTGCAGCCCAAGGAAGCTCTTCGCCACGTCGGGATCGCTGTCGCGACGAATGCGTCTCGGGTCCGGGGCCATTCGTACATTTGTAAATGCTCAGTCGTATTTCGCAGGGGAAGCGAGAGCGCGCACCAAGGTGGGTGGGTAAGATTAACCAACCATCCATCAGGGACCAGGTTGAAAAGGGGCAGAGGTCCCTTGTTTGCGTTTAGATGTATTGAATGCTACCTCCTTACAGAACGCATGTGCCCGCCCAAGCACGAATCGGGGAGTGCTACTGTGGGCGGAACACACGGCACTTTCCAGGGCGTTGATAGCGCTCAGCCCCCGCTCATCACTTGCCTCAAGGGTCTTTGAGGTGCCTAGGTACTTGGGTAGGTACTGAAGGTTGTTCGTTCCTTCCCTTCCAGATGACACGGACGGGACGTTCACGTCGTAATCTTAACCCTCGCTTCTCTTCCCTCCATTTCCCTTTTCTCCATTCACATAACTCTTGGCTCTGCTGCTCAACATCCTCCTTGCTTCGTCTTCTCGATAGACCACTTTGAGCGATGGGCGCGGCAACTTGGGTCTCGTTGCTGCTGCTCCTGCAACCCTCCACCTCGAGAGCGGCAGGGGCAGGCTATGCGCCCTATGCCGACAACTCGCTCCTCTACGACTGGGGCGTGTATGGTGCCTATCCCCAGGTGCACTACGAGTCGCTCGGGGCGTCTTCACCCTGGCCCAACGTCCTCCGTTCAGACCCCAAATGCGATGACGGCTTGCTCTTCATGGCGCCCCGCGGCCGGTCAGTGCAGACGCCGGGGCCCATGATCCTCGACCAGCAGGGAAACCTCGTGTGGATGAACACGGAATGGGGGCAGGCCATGGACGTCAAGGTGCAGTCGTACCAAGGGGAGGACTACATTACCTTTTGGCACGGGACCGACAACGGCACCTACGGCATGGGCTACTACTTGATGGTGAGATGCCAAAACCCACTTCCTCGTCTGAGCAGGAAGGCATGAGGGGACCAGAAGAGTGAACAAACGTTCTAATGCTCACCAGCTCGATTCCTCATACGAGGTGTTCAAGAAGATTGTGCCGGTCGGCGACTTCACTGGCGACCTCCACGAGTTCCGCATCACAGACCACGGCACGGCTCTCATGACCATCTACGAGAAGAGGCGTGGGGATCTTTCCGCCTACGACATTGATGACGGTTGGCTCGTTGACAGCCTCTTCCAAGAGGTCGACATCGCCACGGGTGAGCTGCTCTTCCAGTGGCGAGCTTCAGATCACTTCGCCGTTGCCGCGAGCCGCGCCCCCATCGGCAAGTTTGGCCGCAAGGAGCCCACGGCATTTGACTTTTTCCACATCAACAGCATCGACCAGGACGCCATGGGCAATTACCTAGTGTCGTCACGCTACATGTGTGCCGTTGTCTGTATCGATGCTAGGAACGGTCAGGTGCTTTGGCAGCTTGGTGGAGCAGCCAACAATTTCACGGATCTCTCGGATGGCGCGGCCACCTCCTTCTCGTGGCAGCACCACGCCTCTTGGGTCGACGATAGTACCATTTCCGTCTTTGATAACGGTGCTTACGATAGGCTCCGCACGAGTAAGCATAGCAGCGGTCTCGTCATCGCCCTCGATATCGCCAATCAGACGGCCGAGTTGAAGCAGAGTTACGTGTCACCGCAGAAGTTCTCTGTTGGTTCGCAAGGTTCCGTTCAGACATTGCGAAAGTCTGGCAATGTCCTCGTCGGCTGGGGTCACACGCCTGCCTTCACCGAGTTCTCCTCTACAGGAAAAGCGTTATGTGACGTACACATCGGCGCCGTGCACCTAGCGCGATTCGGCTGGTGCAACAACTATCGGACCTTCAAGTACCCTTGGGTTGGCAAGCCGAAGACGCGGCCGACTGTTGTCGTGAAGCCCAAGGAGGGTGCATTATATGTCAGCTGGAACGGTGCCACACAGGTCGACCAGTGGCGTCTCCAGAGCAGCACAGAGCCGGGCGGAAAGCGCTTCGCTGATCACAAGGTGATTATGAAGGAGAGCTTCGAGACGAGATTTGAGATTCCCAAGGCAGCCGCGGAATATGTGCGCGTCGCTGCCATGGATCTGGACGGTACAGTCTTCGCAACATCGATGCCCGTATCGAGATATTTCGCGACGGAGATTCCTCTGATGAAGGCTCCTTCACGGGGATCGCCAATCTCCATATCATTTATCGTTGAATTTTCCATCCTCGCCCTCCTCGCTATTATGGGCACCTGGTACTTCAGATCTGTCGTACGGCAGCGTCTAACGCATGGCGTCGACTGGGTACAGAGACACCGCCGAGCCATGGCGTACGGAGGGGAGACCAAGTACGAGGCCCTACCTTTACAGGACCAGCGGTGATACATGAACATCTATCTGCATAACTTCTTGTATATAGTTTCTTCCACGGGACTTTGATTGAGACCTTGGACGGACATTCATTTTTCCATCATCGTCATCAGCAAGGACGGACACTCACTATCTAGCATTTCTTCATCATTAACCTCAGCATAGACACTAGCGATCATTTATAATTCATCATTTTGATATACATACTTCTACTCCTCCTCACCCTCCAGGACTATCTCGTGCCCGGTCCCCTCGTACACCCACAACGCCGAGACGGAACATAAGACAGCCACGCCAGCGACCCCCCACCAGCCTATGATGACGTTTCCGGCATTCAGCCCCATGCCGTATAGCCACCCCGAAGCCACGGGCCCGACGGTCCGGAACCCTGCAGCAACGCTCTGCCCGAGCCCGTGGATAGTTCCGAGCACGCTGGGATGTGGACTGCCGTTGTTTAGCAGCATGATGCCAGCCGGCATGGTGAACGTCCTGGCGAGGACCTGACACGCGGCAACGAGGGCGATGCCGACCCACATGACGAGGCCCCCCATTGCGGCGGGGGGCAGGACGGCGAGCATGGGCGCCAGGAGGTAGGCGACAGAGAAGAGCGGCAGAAAGTAGCGGTAGGAGCGCAGCGTGCCGAGGCGGGCCTGCAAGGATGGGTACAGAGCGAGCTGCAGGGGCAGGCCGAGAAGGCCAAGGAGAGACATGCCGAGGCCGACCTTGGGTGCGGAGAAGGCCAGGCCGCCGCCGAGTGGGGCTGATCCGGAGGCGGGGCGCGGCGTCGAGAGGAAGAGGGGCCAGAGGTTTGCGAAAGCGCCGAGCTGGAACTCGAAGAGGGCTGTCGTCAGCAGGATGAGGATGACATTGCGGGTCCAGATACGGTGGAAGGGTAGCTTCTGCCTCGTCTTCTGGCGGGACTGGCGGGTTGGTTGGTTGGTAGCTGGTACCTCGGCGGTGTCAAGGACGATGCTGTCTTCTTCTCCCAGACCAAGGTCGGAGGTCTCTACCCGCGAGTACCCCAAAGACGACGGAGCGCCGGACAGTCTACCTCTGATGCGGGCGGCGATGGCCAGGCCCAGGTCATACCGGTCTTTCCTCTCAGGAGACGTCTCCTCCAGACAGAAGAAGAGGAGCCCTGAGACGAGGGTCAGGAAGACGGCATTCAATAGACTGGGCAGAGCATAGGGGTATGCCTGGATCCATCGGAAGCCGAAGATGGCATCTCGGCCGAAGAAGCGCGGCAAGGTAGTCGGCGCATCGGCGAGGAGTCCTCCCATGGCTGACGGCGTCAGTTCGATCACGGCGTTTTTCTGAAGAGGGGCTGCGAGACTCACGTGGGCCGATGACGTTGGCGACGTTGAAACTCAGCGGCAGCAACAAGAATGCTCTCGACTGGAACCGTTTCTCTGAAACGTTCTCAGCCACCATGGTTCGTCTGTTCACATGTCAGCCGCGCTCCGTCTCGACGGAACTTGTTGCTGTCCCGCAACGCAAGACACTCACACGGCGCCAACGGTGCCATTGATGCCCCCGCCGACGATCCTCCAGAAAATGGCCCAAGCAAAGGTCTTCACAAAGGCATACCCGACGCACGAGAGCGCCGTCCCCATGAGGCCTGTCATGATGACAACCTTGCGGCCAGCCCATGGGGCATCGGAGGCCTTTCCCCACAGCACAGCCGTCACGACTTGCGCGCCGGAGAAGCAGCCCTGCAGGACGCCCGCCTGCGCCGAGGCCGCCGCGTCTGAGAGCCCGGCATCAAAGGACTTGAGCTGGAAGAAGATGTAGGCTTGCAGGGAGGCGACCTGCAGAAAGTCGACGGCGCGGCAGAGGAACAGGATGAACAGTTGGGACTTGCGAGGCAATGAGGCCCAGGTGGCGGCGGCCGGTGCGGGCGGAGTCTGCGCATTCATCACCGGCTAGCAGCTTCAGTGAGAGGGGAGTGGCCCACGAGATGTTGACTGACGACGCAAGCTTTTGTTTTAGACGGGCATTTAGGCAAAGAGTCGTCCAAATGTCGGGATGAATCGGCCATGCCCGAATGAGTCAAGTCGGGACGCGATGCGGGATTAGCTCGTCGCTCACGTCCTCCACCCCACATCCCCGGCTCGGTCTCCCCCCTCCTTGTCTGCTCCCCACGCGTACGGGGAGTGACGATCTACATCTCCAAACACCTGGCGCTGGAGTTCTATCGCCAAGGCGAGGAACCACTCAAGTACTCCGCTTAACCCTTGCTTGAACTCGTTCGCCAAGCTGCCAAGGTGTTGGGATCCATGGCCCCTGTGCATATGGCCGAAATGGTCTTCTTTTGCTTGATGGTTGATGGAGGGCACGCGACATTGGAAGGAGTATCCAGATGGTTAGTGCAGGCCAGGAGGAGGCACGATAGGAGGCGGCAATGTTTTTGAGTAAGCTGTATCAATGGCAGCGGCCCCCTTTTCTCGCTTGCTTGTCTATGTTGATGATTTCTCCTGATCTATCTGGCTTCCTATTTCTGCCCGGAATACACGTTTGCACGTTCTGCTTTTTTTGCGAGAAACCATGGCCTACGCTGCGAGGTATCAGCCCAAGCCAGTGACCGACATTTTCACCAAAGACACAGACATTGACCGAAGGACATGCTCCCGAAAAGTACCCATGAAGGTCCTCCTCCTCGGCCTCGGCCGCACTGGAACAGCATGTAAGGCTTGGCACCATCCTGTTCTGATCTCATGCGATGTTCTATTTCTATGAACAGACAGCTAAAACACCAGAAAACCCCAGCCATGCGCACAGGGCGGAGAGGCGCGTGAGAGAAGCTTGGTCGAAGAGGCAGGAGGGTGGGGAAGCCAAAAGGATACGCTGCTTACTGCGCGTCCGTGATCTCGGGCCCGGCTGGTGGAGACACATCCACCTCCGTGTGTGCCGGTCCAAAAGAGGAAAGTTGTTCGGACGATTTCTTTGCGGTGTCAGAGTTCTCCTTCTCGGGACCCATGGATCTTTTCACCTTTTTACACAAACTCAAAATCTCCGTGGATACCAATCAGTCAGTTCACTGCATGAGAGGACATTTCCGTTCTGCCTTGTAGTTCTGGCCCCGCAGAAGTTCATCCGCGAGATAACCCACTAGGATGATCGAGGCAGATAATTTGCACTGCCTCCTTTGTCTTCGGTGGACCACATTACTCAGACACTTCTCCAGATTGTCCATCTGACCTGCGTCTGCCACTTCCATGTCTCGGCTATGCCACTTGACCGAGGCCGAGGATTAGCTTGTATGGGCTGCACGACGTCAAGTACCGTTACCCTCCAACAGCCAAATTGATAAGCCCTAGGCGGGTGCCTACATGAATCTGTCGAAAACCCGACATTCAGGAGCCTGGTACGTTCGGATCGCTCATAGCCTAGTCAGTTCGTTATAAATAGTGACCGTATATTATGCGAAAGGATAGAAGGAAATATCCGTTTGTGCAACAGTCCAACTCCAACCGAGTGTGTTCTTCCTCTCCTTAAAGATTGGTAGGCTGCCACCGTATGTATATCTGGCCAGTGATCTATGAACATGCTTGAGTAAAAGAGAAATCCATCAGTTCAACTACTACAAGCCAGGTGGTGAAAAGGATGACTTGTCAGGCCAATTGCCCAGCTCGGCTGGATCGCCTCCAATGCGGACATACACACCCACTGCGGGAATGCCGCCGTCAAGAACGAAGAACTGGAACCAACCGGGTGGACATATACCCGCGTCGGGCGGTGCCGTGACGGTGCAAGTGAGGCCGCTGCAAGAGACGGATGGTAGAATGGTTCGTGTGCCCATCGAGTTGCCATGTGTTGATGAGACGCCACCAAGAAGCGTAACAGAGATGTCACCGTTGACCGGGGCACCGCCAAGAGTGAAAGTGATTGACTCATCATAGTCCCAGTCCCGGTTCGCGAGCGTGAAGGTTGGTCGAGGCCTGCCGCTGGTTAGGTAGGGCGGGTTGAAGACTTCGACGCGGTACTCTTGAGGGTTGACACCGTCTTGAGGGTCAGAGCCTGTGACCAGCACGCGACCGTCGAGAAGCGTGATCGACTCCGAGTGATACAAACGCGCAATTGTAGTGTTGGCCACGACCGTGATGCGTGCGCCAACACGCTTCTCTGGATCGTAGATGAGCGCATTCAGATTGGGGGCCTCTGCGAGACCGAAGCCTGCCACCCCCTGCTGCGCGCCGTTATTTATGAGATACGTCCCATCAGGCAACGGCGCCATGCAAGACATGACGCGGCGCGAGGGCATGCGTTCGACCACCCATTCGGGCTCTGGGGCTTCGGGGTAGATGGTTACACAATTGTCGATGGCCGTTGCCACGCCCTCTGTAGATCCACCGCATATGAGTATACCGAGGGGAGCTGTGTATGGTGCCTTCTGCGGAAGCAAGACGCCAGTACCCTCGAGAGGGTATGTGCGGCCACCCATAGGGTTGTTCACCGTGCCAGGAATTGTCGGCAGGATGGTCAGCGTTTCGAAAGTTGTCTTGTCCAGAATGCGAGCCTCGTTCCAGTAGGCCACAAATATGTTCTCGCTCGGCAACACTGCACAGAAGGGATATAGGTTGTTCGGGTCGGTGCGTTCCAGCCAGTCCATAAACAGCGGTGCCCGTCCCGTGTATGGCAAGACCTCAATGGTGGGGACGGCAGCGCCATTGGATCCCTCTTCGCCACCGATGACGAAAATAGAGCCGTTGGCCATGACCATAGTGGTTGGGTACCATCGACCGTCTTGAAGGGATAGTTGGTTTACATTCTCTTCCCAGTCGTTTGTGCCATTGACGCCCGGCGAACCGTCAGGTGTGTACAAGCGAACACCATAAGTCGAGTCGCCCGACCATCCACCGACTGTGAGTTGCCGGCCAGCTTTGTCGGGAAGTATGAGACCGGATGAGCAGAAAATGTCCGTCTTGACGTTCATCTCACGCCATGCTGTGTTCCTGTTAGGCGCCAAGGAGAGGTCTAGCTCGTAAGCACCTGTAGAATTGGCCGGACCAGTTCCCCATTTCTCAAGGAATGTAACCTTTCCCGTGATAGACTCCATTGTCATTAGTGGGATGCAAACGCCTCCAATGAGGAGCTCGTACGAGCCAGCTCTGGCGACGTCCTGGGGGAAGGTCCATGCGTAGAGGGGAGTGCCAGTCCAGAAATAAGTTGACATCCGGTTGCCGCCACCGCAGATGGAAGAGTCATTGCCGGCGCAGAGTATATTGCACTCGGATTCGGGACGGAAGACGGTACCAATTGCATCAATGTTGGCCGGATCACCGCAGTAGCACTCCTCGCCGTACTCGAGGCCAGCAGCCATGTATCCAAATTCGCCGCAACGATCGAGGCATTCATTAGCTGTCATGGTGCCAGGGAAGAAGTTCTGCCAGAAGAAAGTTCGCGTCGTTCCGACAAAACTTTGAAGGCAGCCCTGATATGTCCAGTCGCCGTTGAAGCCACTCAGCTGGGGCGAAGGTGGACCACGTACTCGAGGAGGGCCATCCGAGATGATGGTCATACGATCACCTCCACCACACATCTGCGTGCTGTCACCCGCACATGGCGTGTTACACTGCGAGTCGCTGGAAGCCTTGACACCGTTGTTGATGATGGAATTACCGCAAAAGCACTGTTGATAATACTCAGCGCCAGCAACAGTGTAACCCAAATCAAAGCAGTTCTTGGCGCACTTCTGAAGGGTCAGAGCATTGTCGTCAGGGGCCTGATAGGTGAGGATGCGACCGCCAGCCCCATCGACCCAACAGCCTTGTTCGCTCCACCCTGACGGGTAGCCAGTCGCCACAGGACGCGCTGACGTCGAAGTCGAGGTTGAAATAGCGCTCGCAACCTCTGTATTGCTAGTAGCAGCACCTGAAACTGCAGCTGATGAGGCTGACGAACCCCCCTCGTCGAGCATGTAGACGGATAAGCGATTGCCGGCGCCGCAGTACTGTTGGGGACTACCAGAACACCTCATGCTGCAGTCCGATTCGGGCGCAGTCTGAGAGCCTGCTGCAAAGGTATTACCACAGAAGCACTCCCTTCCATACTCCGTTCCAAAGTATTTGAATCCCGTACAAAAAGTTTGGCACGTTTCAAGAGTCATCTGATCGTTCGCAAGCTCTTTGGCGCCGAGAGCGCGGGCGCCGGTGGCCTCAGTACGACAGCCAACCCAGGAATAAGGACCCACGGTTTCTGGATGACTTGGCCCAGTGGGAGTGATCGTTGAGGTAGGAAGGACGGTCTCGATGACAGAAGCCGTACCTGTGGGCTCAGGCGTGGTCGTAACCGTTGACGACACATCTACGACCTCTTTGTAGTTGTAGAGATTGAGGCGATCGGGTCCGCCGCAGTACTCGGTAGTGTTGCCGTTGCAAAGCATGTTGCAGCCGTCGACGGCAGGCGCACCTCCATTCTTAAGCGAGTTGTCACAATCTACTCCTGTTAGTCAATCCAATTACCCTCGGACGGGCTTCAGGCCCGACGAGGAGAGCACCCACAGCATTCGCCTCCGTACTCAACACCGCCTAGTTTGTAGTTGCCTGCCCTGCAAGCCGCAAGGCACTTAGCAACTGTCATCCCGGACGCCGGAATACTACCGATGCCGTTAGAGAGGGTTCGCCCTCCTGCGCCATCACTGGAGTTGCAGTTAGCGGACAGGTTCATCATCTCGCGAACAATCTGCGGTTTTTGCTTACATGTAGCAGCCTTCTGACACCCAGCCGCCAACTCCTGGATTAACACTTGGGCCATTGGTTTCTTCAGTGAAGAAAAGCGTCAATCGATTGGGACCACCGCATGGCTGGGACGTATCGCCAGCACAGGGAGTATTGCAGTCAAGCTCATTAGCAATGACTCCGCCAACCGCAAGAGCATTGCCACAATCTGCACCATGGTTGTTAGCTTACAAAGTGAC